TTGAGACAGGTCTTCTGAAGTTTACTCATCTTGGTGAGTTATGGTACTGTCTTAATTTAACTTATTGGAGAGAGAGGGCCTGCTGGTGAAAATTAAATCATTTCACAGGCAAAATAGTATTGTTCATGTTCAGTTTACACATCAGTTTCCAACTAAATTCTATGTAATTCTATATATTTTATTCCAGTATATTACTTCATTCCCCAAATGTTGATCCTTATAGTAGTGTCCTAATTTTTGGAAATATAACACATTTTAACAGGAAAAATCCCCTCTAAGAATGGAACAATGGAGAAACACCTTAGTGAAGACTGAACATGCTCATTGCCCCCCTTCCCCAAATGCTGAATGTCTTTTGTGGAGATGTGTTGGAGAATGGAAAGCACGGGGGGCGGGGAAAGAAACAGAGTATCCTGAAGATGGTCATGACTGCCTAGAACTCTGAAAACCAACTTTCTACACTGTGACATTTAGTTACAGGTCCCACGGTTGCAATATAATCCCTAAAACTACTCCATTAATTCTTATTCTTTGCCAGCCTATATTGTTGTGTGTGTGTGTTTAGTCGTTTAGTCGTGTCCGACTCTTCGTGACCCCATGGACCAGAGCACGCCAGGCCCTCCTGTCTTCTACTGCCTCCCGGAGTTGTGTCAGGTTCATGTTGGTTGCTTCGCAGACACTGTCCAACCAGCTCATCCTCGGTCGTCCCCTTCTCCTCTTGCCATCACACTTTCCCAACATCAGGGTCTTTTCCAGGGAGTCTTCTCTTCTCATTAGATGGCCAAAGTACTGGAGCCTCAGCTTCAGGATCTGTCCTTCCAGTGAGCACTCAGGGTTGATTTCCTTTAGAACTGATAGGTTTGTTCTCCTTGCAGTCCAGGGGATTCTCAAGAGCCTCCTCCAGCACCACAATTCAAAGGCATCAATTCTTCGGCGGTCTGCTTTCTTTATGGTCCAGCCTATATTGTTACCATACAGGATTTCTTCTATTACCACTGAAAAGCTTCTAAAATGAAAGCTCTCTTGTATAGAAAGGAAATTATCATTAAAAACTCAATAGAGAATCAGCTAAAGGTGGTAAAACATCAACAAAAAGCTCATTACATTTGAAGCACATCAGAGTGTTTCAAATAACACTCCAAGAAATACAGGAGTCAAGATCTTCTAAGTAGATGGAGTAAAGTAACAACTTTTCTCTGGAGCTGTTGAGCTGAAATGTTTTAAAGGCTCAGTTTTCAGGATATGGAACTTTGCCCTCCTTGCAAATGAAACCAATTCCATACTGATAGTGGCCTGCAGTAAAAATATGGGTATTATCCATCAGGGACTCCACTTTAAATAATTTACAGTTTCCCAGAATGTCCTCAGAAGAAAGCAATGGTAAACCATTTCTGAGTACTTATATCTAGAAATCCCTGAGAAGGGTTGTCATAAATTGGCATTGAGTTGATGGCACACATATTATTTATTATTAACTATATTAGTCTGTTGGACTAAAAGCAACAACAATTCTTGTGGTACCTTAAGATGCATGCAACACGCTCTTGTTCCAGGGCTTTCAACAACTCCTGCTGCATCTGCCTCAAGTCATGGCAACCCAGGGATGAATGTATGTGGCTCCCGGACTTTGTCTACCTGCTTTGGTTACAGTATGGATGGGAGACGTGGGGCTCTCCAAACATTATTGAATCACAGCTCCCTTGATCCATCATCATTGCTTATAGTGACTAGGATTGATAGGAGTTAGAGTCCAGAGGTGGGAATCACAAAGATTAAGAGGTCATATGTTGTTCCCAAGAGTAATTTGTACTTGCTGCATCATGCCTCCCCCATTTATTTATTTTTTTAACTTTTTTAAAACTTGGGGGTTTGGGGGGGTCTGGGTTTTTTTGCAAAAAAGAGGAGAGAATCGCAGCGAGGGAAGCCTGAAGCGGTAACAAGGTATAGGAATGCCCACAACTTGTTTTAACCATTCCCCCCCCCCATAGGAAGTGATCTAGTCATGTCTGTTTTAGCTGGGAGGGCCTGAGATAGTACATAATGGATCCAGGTGAAGGTGGTGGTGGAAATGGCCCCCAGGCCCAGAGATGCATTATGTTTGGGCGGACACTGAACCTCACAGCCAGTTGTGACATCTAGGGAGTTGTCACTATGACATCTTGGGAGTTGTCAAAAACAAAACAAAACAAAACCCCAAACTTTTCCCATTTCAGCCCAGGCCCCCTGAAGTTCTGCCCCTCAATCTAGAAAACTCACATTCTAATTACAGAGGAGTTGGGGGGCTATGACTATCTGATAAGATCTATATGAAAAGGAAAAATATTTCTCAAAGTTTTTACTCTTGAGCAGTTAATTAATGTAACATGGCTAGCCAACGAACATGACCTCGCTGTTAAACACCAGCAGTTTGAGAAGCAGTAGTGGGGTTAGCAGAATAATGAGCGTCCATTCTTGAAAAGCTTTGTAGACATATGCTGAGTGGAAATAGATTTAATCTACTTTACTTTCTATCCACAGGCCTATGTTGACCTAAATAAAGCATTTTTGATTGACCAGGTTATGCATTTTAATACTGCAGGTCTACATTTTGGTAAATTGTTTGTTCTATCTGATGGTGGAATTAGTGATATTTACTGAAAATGACTCTTCCTGTCTTCTCCTTTGCAGTCTGTTATTTATTGAACAACAACTTCAGTCCAGACCTGTGCAATGAAGATGGATTAACTGCACTGCATCAGGTAAGCTTTTAGGAAAGTTGAAAGGTGACATCAGGCAGGATTAACTGAAGCAAATGTCCCCATAGCAGGTTTTTAGGCACTTCACATAATGCTTTCTGAAAAAAAAACCTACAATCACTTAACATATTTATCCATAACAAACTGATTGTTACACTTTATAGAGACACGGTAAGAAGGGTGAATTCATTATAATAACAAAGCAACTCATTTTTAAGTGAGGGAAATTCTGTAACTGCTGAAGATATTTGATTTTTAGAGTGGAAGCTTTTTCTCATTTCATGTAATTTACAAATTTACTTGCTCTGCTTTGTTTTATGATGAATCTGTATTAATTAAATTTCCTTATAAATCTGATTTCTCACATATGGTTTTCCTGAGCCATGTCTCTCAAACAATTACGTATGTGACTTCAGCTCTGATGATGGGTTTATATTATATATTTGGCCCTAACAATTGGGGATTTTGTAAACAGAAAAAAAGTTTTATATTAGGAATGTGGTTGTTCTTTTTGTGAGCAGAAACAAGGAAGAAAAACATAGAGATTTAGCCAGGTTTCACAAACCTTCCCTTTGTCAGGGATACATCTTTGGAAGAAAGATGTGATGCTTATTCATACTTGTCAGCTGCAAGTTACAATTAGAAGGATAAAAACTGAATTTCTAGCATGGAGGAAAGCTTCATGTTTGCTTCTCCAAAGATGGTCAGTGAAGAAGAAAGCAAACAACAAACTACCATAAACAAACAGGGAGAAAGAGCTAACACAATGTCTGAGATGGTAAGTTGTCAACAATAGACTGGCTGGATAACTCGGTGGCTTAAGTATCTGTCTGTGGAGCCAGAGGTTGTGGGTTCAATCCTGCACTGTGCCCCCTGGAAGAAGAGCCAACCTGTGTGGTCTTTGGCAAGCTGCACAGTCCTAGGGCACCCCCAGAAGAAGGGAATAGCAAACCACTTCAGAGTACTCCCTACTTGGAAAATGCTGAAGAAGGTTGCCGTAAGTCAGTATTGATTTGGTAGCATATGCTTATTATTAATAAACAATACATCATGCCCCCTTCCACTGGCCATCAGTGTTAAGGCATGCAAGGCTGCAATTTTTCCAACATTGACCTGGCTAGCACTTTGAAGAGAGCATCCGGGATGAGTTTTTTAATACAGTGGTGCCTCACTAGATGATGATAATCTGTTCCTCTGAAATCGCTGTTTAGCAAAATCATTGTCTAGTGAAAAGCATTTCCCCACTGGAATGCATTGAAACCTTTTTAATGTGTTCCAGTGGGGAAGAATCGTCGTTGTCTAGCGAAGATTGGCCATAGGAAAGCCGCTTTGCGAACCGCCAATCAGCTGTTTAAATCGCTGTCTTGTGAAGCATAGGTCCCGAAAACACCTGATTTGTGAGCGCGGAGGGAGCTGTCAAAATCATCGTCTAGCGAAAATCGGTTTGCGAAGCAGGGACCAAACATTGTCCAGCGAACTTCCCCCATAGGAATCACTGTTTTGCGAATCGCTATAGCGATCACAAAAAGTCAATGCCCAGCGAAAAAACTGTCATGCGGGGTAACTGTCTACCGAGGCACCACTGTAACTGGAATAAACTGTTATCATTTTCTTTTCAATAACTGCTGTGCCTGGCCACATACCCATGATTGAATCCCTTTCTGTTGCTCAGAAATTGTTCAGTAATAGAAAATACAGTGGCGCCTCGCATAACGATGTTAATTGGTTCCATTAAAAACATCGTTATGTGAAAACATCGTTAATCGAAACACCATTTCCCATAGGAATGCATTGAAAACCAGTTAATCCGTTCCAATAGGAGCCTATTCAATACATTTCAATGGTGAAAAAAAATCACCAAAAATTCAAAAAGACTCAGAACGAAGCCAAATTACTTTAACGAAGGTTTTATTAGGTGCACTAATGATTCCAAGCATTTGAAACCGGTTAAATTCCCCCATAGGAATCACTGTTTTGCGAATCGCTATAGCGATCACAAAAAGTCAATGCCCAGCGAAAAAACTGTCATGCGGGGTAACTGTCTACCGAGGCACCACTGTAACTGGAATAAACTGTTATCATTTTCTTTTCACTAACTGCCATGCCTGGCCACATACCCATGAGTGAATCCCTTTCTGTTGCTTAGAAATTGTTCAGTAATAGAAGATACATTTATGCTACATAGTTCTGATTTCACCCTTTCCAGAGTAAACTAAAGGTAGATAATACATTAAGCGAGGCACCACTGTACATTTATGCTACATGGTTCTGATTTCACCCTTTCCAGAATAAACTACAGGTAGACAATATGTTGCTCTCCACATATTTGGACATGAAATTTTCATAGTTCAACCCATTTGAAAAAAACTGAATTGAGTTTACAAAGGATGTACAGTAGTTGTAGGTTACGCAGTTGTGGGTTAGAAATCTATTTCAGATAATTTGCTTTTGAATGAGCTCTAACAAACAGGAAAACAATGAGAAATAAGAACTTGGCTTTTGAATGAGCTCTAACAAACAGGAAACTGAGAAATAAGAACTCATGGTCTGTTGGACTACAGCTCCCATAATCCCACTAGGAGTTATAATTGAAAAAGGCAATTATTTCCCATCTCTGGGGAATTCAGGTCTGAACTCAGTATATTATCTGTCTTTCATTTGCGCTCTGGAATCAGATGGCTACTGCTGGGTATTTGAGTCAGGAGGCACCATCTGGAAGCCTTTTTCTTAGGCACTAAGGAGGTGGGCAGTAGCAACAGAGGGAGGGTTGTTAAGCTGATTGTGAAGGCGGATAACCTCATCTAGAGTTCATTCTTTCTCAGTCTGTACCGTAAATGCAACTATTGATGGACCACAGCTGAAGCCCAGATTCTTCTACAAATGAGGACTCTTTCCTTGGCACCAGAGAGATATCTATTTTAACATTCATATTGCTTCCCAAAATGTGTTTTCATTTTATTTATTTATTTTTAAAAAAATGCTTGTTTATTGTTGCTGTGACAAATAGAAAACCTTTGATCTGGGACTTTCACTGTTGTCCTCCCGTAGAAATAGCAAAAACACATGTGTAAAAGCCTATGCACTCTCTAGTCATTCAGAAAAGTTGTAGTTGTGGGCATGGTTGGCAAGCTAATCAGCACCACTAAGAGTGTTTTCCCCCTTTGTCATCTGTTTACTGGTTCATAAACCAGGTGTTGGAGTGCACCTTGTTTCACTTGTAGGCAGCATATTTAATAGTGACGGATCATGAGAGCTACAGTTAAACAGCATCTGGTGTTCCATCACTTGCCCACCTTGTTTCAGTTCAAGGTGCTGGCTATGACCTATCAAGCCCTTAATGGTTTAGGACCTTGACACTTACTGGAACGCATCTCCCAGAAAACAGCTATCTGTTTCACACAATCCTCCCAATCCACATTGTTAAAGGTGGTCACACTGAGAGAGGCTAAAAATGTATCAACAAGGAACTGAGCCTTCTTGATGGTGGCCTCTATTCTGTGGAACAAGCTTCCAATCGAGGTGTGCCAGGCTATGTTCTTCCTGCTATTTAGAAAACAAGGCAGAAGTCTACAAAGCAGCCTTAAAAACATATCCTCGAATGTTGTTAAAATCTAGATTTAAAAATTAATATTTTTACTATTATGTTTTTTAGTTGGTGTATCCCCATGTTGATGGTGTTATCATATGAGGGTGGTGCTGCCGGAGGGGGGAGTTTGTGTCTCTTTCTGTAAACCACCAAGTGTAGCAGATGTCCACTAATGGGATGATATATCACTCACTCACTCACTCAGTCAATCAATCAATCAATAGCCCATCACCAGGAATGAAAAAACCTGGATGAAATCCAGTACTAAGTTGTAACTACTCATTGAATCAGTAGAGTTTTGGTGAGTGAGTCTACTCCTAATCAAAGTTCTATTGATTCATTAAGCTCAATCAATCAATCAATCAATCAATAGCCCATCACCGGGAATGAAAAAACCTGGATGAAATCCAGTACTAAGTTGTAACTACAGTAGGCTTATTGAATCAGTAGAGTTTTGGTGAGTGAGTCTACTCCTCATCAAAGTTCTATTGATTCATTAATCTTACTCTAGTTGGAACTTCTTTCTGGATTTCAACAATTGTATCTAAAACTCTTTGGCATGGTGAATAGAAACAAACTATTTTACAACATTGAACTCCCAAACAAAAAAGATTATTTTTTTTCACTTACACTATGGTAATAAGTGCAAGAAACGACGGATAAGGTGACTGTGTGACATTGCCATATATTTCTTGCACAGCTAGGTCAAAATAATAGATTGTAAGATCTGTAATGCTGTAGTGGCTGCAGAGTTGAATTATGACCGGAGAGACTCGATCAGATCCACGCACAGCCATGAAATGACCTTGAGCCAGTCCTTCTGTGTTTAACCTGTCCCACAGGGTGGTTGTAAAGGCAAAAGAGAAGAGGTGACCATCTGTGTAGCACTGAATTCCTTCTATGCGGGTTAGGCTAGAAATGCAATATGGCTCTGAGAATTCAAAAATGCTCAGAATAAGTTATCTGTGGCAGGGGCTTCCTAATTAGGATCATTCGACCTTTACATGCCAGTGTATCAGTCTTTGACAACCTAGTGCCCTTCACATGTGTTGGACTATTACTGACTTATTTGATTTGGGAGTTGGAATCCAAGATATTTAGAGGATACAAGGCTGAGGAATACTAGTCTGGGTTCTGCTTCTAATTTTACCTTGGAAAGGGTTTATTTGGATAGCTAAAAGCAGCAGCAATGTTAGAATCCTGTACTTTTATTAGTGGGGCTGGATCGAGCATCTGTTGAACAACATCTGTGAGTAACATCTGTTTCACTATCATTTCCCATCCTAGTCAATGCCTTGAGCCTTTTTTCACACTGCATTTCAGCCTATAAGATCCACATAGGCATTTTAGCAAAATGAACTTGGCTTTTAAAACATCTGGTCTAGTTTCTACAAACAGAGCAAACAAGTCACCCCTCTGCCGATGTGGCTTGTATCCTTCAACTCTCTTCTGCTTTATTTGTCTAGTTGTCAAGCTATCAATGCCAGTTTAGGTGGCAGAAAAATGGAAGTCACACCCCACGTTCCAGAGAAGGAGGCATCTGTAGAACGTCTCACTTAACTTTGTTGGGTTCAATTCCTCAACAGTGCTGCATAGACAACTATGAAGAGATAGTTAAGCTTCTCCTGAATCATGGGGCCAATGTCAATGCAAAGGACAATGAATTGTGGACTCCACTGCATGCAGCAGCAACATGTGGACACATCAACCTGGTGAAGATCCTGATTCAGCAGTAGGTGACCTGTGATACTTTCAGATTTATGCATTGTGTTATATACTCTGAACATGAATTTGTGCTTAGCCATGTATTCTAACATTGCCATGTATTCTAATTTTGCCATGTATTCTAACATTTACATTGGCTCGGGCATGTCACAAGAATGGCTGTTGGTTGGATTCCAAAATATCTCCTGTATGGAGAATTAGTGCAGGGAAAGTGTCCCAGAGGGAGACCATAGCTGTGATACAAGAATATCTGCAAGCAGGATCTGAAGGCCTTAGGAATGGATCTCAATGGATGGGAAACTTTGGCATCTGAGCATTCAGCCTGGAGGCAGACGGTGCAGCATGGCCTCTTCCATTTTGAAGAGACACTTGTCCAACAGGTTGAGGCAAAGAGGCAGTCCCAAAACCAGCAAAATCAGGGAGCTGGATAGGAGACAGATTCTATTTGTTTTCTGTGTGGAAAGGATTGTCACTCTCGAATTGGCCTTCTCAGCCACACTAGACGCTGTTCCGAGTCCTCTATTCAGAGCATGTTACTATCGTCTCTCAAGACTGAAGGATGCCTAATCTAAATCTACTGTATTCTAAACAAACTAAGAACTCACTCCCTCTCTCTCTGTGATATTTAGCATCAGAATAGTTATCTGGAACTCCAAAACATTCTGATAGGCAGGACTAAATCTAATTTTTAGTCCTAACTAGAATGGACATAACAAATCAATGGCACATACGTAAGAGTTGGTTTAATAAATCCTGTTCATTCAATGGGAGCTGCTATAGTTGGGATTAGCAGTTGGATTTAGCCCCACTGTCTTTTGTTACCAAAGATTTAATCCTTAAATTAATGGTTTATCCACTCCCGTTTCTTGTCCCAGCTCCCGCCAACCTAGCCATTTGAAAGCATGCAAATGCAAGTAGATACTGTAAATAGGGACCACCTCGGTGGGAAGGTAACAGCGTTCCGTGTCTAAGTCGCACTGGCCATGTGACCACGGAAGATTGTCTTCGGACAAAATGCTGGCTCTATGGCTTGGAAACGGGGATGAGCACCGCCCCCTAGAGTCGAACACGACTGGACAAAAATTGTCAAGGGGAACCTTTACCTTTACCTTTACCTTTATCCACTTCAGAGGGTCCAATATGCAACAGCCAAATTGCTAACTGGGGCTGGACACAGGCATCACACAACTCCTCTGTTGCCTACCCATTCCTGAAATAAAGAGACAGACACAGTTTTGGATTTAACTAGGACCATTTTATTAACTATAAATTTCCCACCGTCAACTTGCAGAGGGGCTTGAACGTAATGCAGATTCCTAGGGCAGGCTCCAGGGTTACCTCTTACCCCTTTCCTGACACCTAACGGGCAAGTCCCATGTCTGAGCAGTCCCTGGATAGCTCCTGCCCAGCTGGCTAAAATTGGGAGTCCCTTGCCAGCTGCCAACCATCCAGTCCTCCTTACCATGGACAGCCAGTGGCCAGGTCTACTCTGATGACTGTGGGGATGGTCCTTCAGAAATCTTGTCTTAAAGCTGGTTGGGACTGTAAAAGTAAAAAACCAGCAATTTGGGTTTTGGGGAAGGGGATATGTGCTCTTGCTTTGCACGTTCAAACCTTAAATGGACTGTGGAATTCCTCATTTTAAAAAAAGCAACTAGACAAGGAGCTTACCATCTGCATGTTTAATACAGTGTCTGGAATCCTCTTGTGCAGGATTCCAGGAATGACTTAACAATTGGAAGCAAACTGCCATAAGTTAAGAAATCTCTGTAGGCATTATCTGTTGTATTCTGACTCATGAAAATGGGCACACAGCAGATAATAACTATGGATATTTTCTTTTTAACCTATGGTGATTCACACATAAAAGTTATGCCATTTGTATAACTGTGCAGGCAGAATTTCAGCCAGCATCTCACTACAGCCAACCTTAACAGTCTGTTGAGAAGATAAAACTGGTGGAAAGGACCTTATGTAGGAGGTTCCTAGGAGAAGAGGAATTCAAATGGGACTATATAAATAAATTTTGCTAGCCGTGTGCCTTGATAAAAAGAATTCTGTAGTCTTTGCACTGTGCCAGTTGACTCTCTGTACCAGAAGGGACCATGGAGTGTGATTTTCTTTTGCTGCAGAACGCAACACAGCATGTGGCTGTTCCAATCAAAGTAGCATTCTGTAAGAACCCTTTCAGATCAAAAAGCCTGTTCAAATACAGAATCAAAAGACTTCAGTGTCAGAACACAGAGCCCGGAGAGACCCATAAAAGTAGCAGCAGTATAAAGGGTGTCTAATCCCGTGCTTTGTTTGCTGATTTAGATGGACTCTATAAAAACAGCTGGCAAGTGTGTTTTACATCGTAATTTCCTCTGTTCTCGTGGGGAAGAAAAATGAACATGAATATCAGTGTGCGCAGTTGCTTGGTCTCTACTTCAAAGGCTGTAAATGTCAAGCCAGATCAAGCTTAATCTGTATTAGAATATTATTTTCATGTTGAGGCCACATATGGTTCAGAATGCAGTGCTGTGTCTCTAGTATTTTATTACAGAGGGAGGTATTGGCTTACTGAAGCAGAAGGGTGGTTCCGTCATGTTTGGTGCCCTTCACATAATAATTATTAAAGTATAGGGAAAGGGTGAGACATGTGGATACGGAGCAATGATAGTATGTGTGTAGAATTTGGTGGTGTTACTTTCTGAAGCTTCAGCTCCCAGAAAGCCACTGGCCATGCTGGTTAGGGAATTCTGGAAGCTTTGACCCAAACAGTGGCTTTCCAAACTCTGGTCCAATGTCATATTTTCTGTCTCATCACCATCAGAAGCACATTTGACTAAAGAGGACCTTATTGGTATCTCCTCCCAGGAGATGGATTGCCTTTCATTGGGGGAGGCCAGGCTAACCCCATCTTTGTTGGCATATTCGGAGAGGCTTTTGGCTTTTAAGCTGTTTTCTGCAATACCTTTTCACTAGTAGACATTGTTCTTTATTGTTATTATTGGTATATTAGAAACCAAGCTGACTGGATACCTCAGTAGTTTAGATATCTGGATGTGGAGCCAGAGGTTGGGAGTTCAATTCTCTACTCTGCCTCCTGCAAGTACAGCCAGACTGTGTAGTCTTGGGCCAGTTGCACAGTCCCATGGAGCCCCAGGAAAAATGGAATAGTAGAGTATTCTCTACTGGAAAATGCTGAAAAGCGTCACCATAAATCAGAATTGGCTGGACAGCACATGATGATGATGGTGATATTAGTAGCTGATTTGCTTTTCTGCTTGAATTAGGTATTTGTATTTTATCTTATATTTTAGTATTGTTTGCATGGAAAGGGAGACTGTATGTGTAATAAGTGGCTGTTAAATGAATGGAATAAATGCCAAAATGGATGTGGCAGGCATCAGCCAAGTTACAGCGCAAGGAACCGTTATGGAAGGGGATGCTTCTTCTACAAGGGAACACAGGGTTGGGGCAATCTGAAGGTAAGATTCCACTGAAAGCAAGGAATGGGAGCCTTTATGGCTACTTAGCAGTCTGCCTTCCCCTGCTTGTGTCTACCTGACTATTGAGATCCTTAGCGAGGACCTCTTTGGTTAGTCTACAACTGATAGAAGGCTCTTGGGTGACATCATGATGGTGGGCTTTTTATTTGGTAGATCCATTCTCTGGAACATCCTTCTTATTAAAAAATGGGGGGGGGAGAGACATTTGGTCCTTCTGCAAAATCTAAAAAAAAAGGGTGAGTAATATCTTTATTAGATCATTGAACTCAAAGACAGGCAAGCTTTCAGTCTTGCTGAACTTTTTCATCAGGCTAGTTCAAGCAGTGCTATGCCCAGGCTGATTACACGCCATGCAGGATTTTAACGCTTGCTTGGTTTTTCGAGGGTGCATGTAAGATTTTAGTGAAATAGTAAATGTATTGCTCAGCCTTGTTTTTTGATTTTGCTCCACCACTTACTGCTTTTAAATTTGTCTAAAAAGGTTTTACGCTGATTTTATTTTGTATTATTTGTGCATTTTGTATTATTTTGTTGCAGCAAACAGTATGCAAGTACAACATCAAACTGATAATTAAATACTTGATGATGCATGTGATACAAATGAATAAGCTACTCTGGTTGTGAGGACTCTTTAAGGCTGGATGCATTCCTGTTGGCCTGTGTTCAGACCTTGTGGCCAGCTGATTATATTCAAGGGTAGACCATCGATCATGGGGGTTGTCCTTGATATGCAGAGCAACTTGGGTCTGTGACTGCACAATAAAGAATGAATGATATACAGAGCCAAAACTCCCTGGTTTGCTAAGGGAGTCTGTGTGCTGCTAGCTCATGAGGGGTTACCAAAACTGCTTTTCCAGAACCCCTGAAGTCCTCATATCCAAGTACGCACATATCATTCTTACATGATTTCTCCTTGCAGTGGGGCAGACCTGCTGGCAGTTAATGCAGATGGCAATATGCCCTATGACCTCTGTGAAGATGAGCCAACTCTAGATGTGATTGAGACCTGCATGGCATACCAGGGTAAGAGTGGGATAGGAGAAGCTGGTGGTTAGATGAGGGCTTACATTGCTCTATTGTGTTACCCCTCCACTCCCATGGCATGTTTTCCCCCCTCCTCCTTGGAGGCATAATATATTACTTCTAGGATATAAAGGCTTGGACTCCTCTGCATCCTTACATGCTAGTAGGTCATGTTGACCTCAGTAGAGTATTGACCTCAGTATTTCTTGATTAGCATGCATAGGATTGCACTTCTACATTGTTCTTCCACTAAGGTACTGCCATTCAGTAGCCAATATCTTGAACCAAACTTGTTTCATTTATTAATTTTGTGCCCAGTCCTGAACATAAGGATGCTAATTTCTTTTCCACACTTACTAGATATACGGTCCTCACTTTTCCCATCTCTTATCTAGTATAGTAGGGAGAGAAAAGTGAGTCTTCTTTGCCTAGCAACTGTCTTTTTTGAGATGTCCCATTGGAGACACACTTCCAATGTGTTGCTATCAATCATTCGTCCTTTGTCAGGTCTTAAAATGTATTGTGTCCAGGCAACTGTGTTGGCAATTTGTTTACAGAACTCTTAATGACTACACAGCAGGAAAAAAATGCAAACGAATCTACTGCAAAATTGCACATGGGAAGTCAGATTTTCCTGGATCAATTTGCTTGAGCCAACAAAACAGCAGTTAGCAAAGACAGAGGAGGAAATCAGCCTTGTTTGCAGCTTGTTAGCATTTGATTCCTTTACTCCCAATAGCTGGTGGCTGGAGCTGCTTGTTTCCTTCTTTCTGTGCTGTTCTTTTTCTTTTAAAGGCTTGCTGCCCTGGCACTGGAACTGTTAGAGACCAAAGAGAGAGAGAGAGAGAGAGAGAGAGAGAGCAAGGACTTGGCAGAGTGATAGGGAAAAGTTTTCAGACAGTCTTGTTTCCATGTCTTGTTACGATAGCTGTGATCGTGCTGTTCTTTTTCTTTTAAAGGCTTGCTACCCTGGCACTGGAACAGTTAGAGACCAAAGAGAGAGAGAGAGAAAGAGCAAGGACTTGGCAGAGTGATAGGGAGAAGTTTTCAGTCAGTCTTGTTTCCATCTTGTTACAGTAGCTGTGATGATACTGTGCCTCCTGCAAGTCTGGATGGCTAGAGCAGAGCTACTTTAACAAGCCGGAACTGAAGACATCCTTCTCTCTCTTTGCTGATTCTCGTTCTCCCCTCTCCCTCTTTTTCCCCTAGCTGCTCTAGGGGCAGTACATTTTTAGAAGGAAGGAGGAGAGGGAAGCAGACCATCACATCAGATGTGGGAAGGAGAGGATTCAAATGGTGGCCAGTTCTCCTGCTGCCCTGCCTCTCTCACTGCTACTTTAGGCAACTGGAATGGTTTCAAATAGAACAGCTACAAACCCCTCCACATCAGCTCAAATGACCACACCAGCTGAACCAATGCATTTGACTCTGAAAAAGTAGAAACCCCAGCAGCAGACAAAATGACAACAGATTTGGGGTAGGGGGAATCTGGCCAGAGTCACATTGGCCTTTACGTCATATAGTCAATGGAAAATAATGTGAATCTGTCAGTTAAAATCCTGCAGCATTTCCCATGTTATTTGCCAATGTGGTCACATTTAAAAGCCAAGAGTGGGAATCCTGAATCTCATTGTAGTCAGGGGCATTGATCTATAAGAGCTCTGAAAAATTATGCAGCTATAGAAGTGTGTATTCTAAGGGGCTCTAAGTATATTTTATATACAGACATAATTATGCATAAAATAACATTGAATTAAAATAAAGTTGTTTGGAATCCTGATGCTGGGCTTTTTTGCTTCTTTAAAAAAATTCTTTGGTAAGGGAAAACCTGGAAGAAAATAATAGCAGAGACATGGGCTTAACCCTTTCTCCATCTGTTAATTCTTTGCCCCAAATCCCTCACTCCCAGGCTGGCTTTTCCCCTCCCCTCAGTGGAATTTAAAGCATCTCCTTATGAGGGAAAACATTTCTTCTCAAACAGTTTTTATTTACAACATAGCATTTTCTTATATACATTTTCCTGATTTGTGTAACTATTTGTGTAACTAAATGTATTAGTTTAAGCAATTTTTCGATCAAAACAGACTTCTGTGATGCACCTAAAAGTGTAATTCTTCTCTCCTGAATTATTTTTCTCTCTTTAGGAATCACACAAGAGAAAATCAACGAGACACGAGCAGCTCCAGAACAGGCAATGGTTGATGATATTGCAGATTTGATAGCAACTGGGCAGGAACTGAACAGAACAGATGCACAAGGTGCTACACTGGTGAGACACTTCCTGATGTATTTTGACAGCTAATGTGATTGAAAGCTGACTTCTTTTGAGTATGACTGGACTGCAGACATTTTCCTCTTTTGCAGTGTGCTCTTGAAATGACTGCTATTCAAGTCACATAGTACCTTTTAAAGAGAGGTGAGAGGAATTTCACTTCCCAAATAACATTGCTGGGTTCCGTCTGGCCTTGGGATTAAAAGCCAAGTCAAAGGCCTTGTTGCTAATCATAGAGAGCCAGTGCTAGGAATTTAAAATTCACCACCACGCAAAGGTGGAAAGGATTGGTAGCTGTTACAGAAATAAACTCAAGTTGACAAGACATAAGCAGAGTTGAGGGAAATATACAAGAAACTTGGCCCAAACTTTAGGCTGGTATATAGTTTAGGATTCTCCTGGGCATATTTCATGTGGGTATGGTACAAGGAGGCCCCATGTTGAATGGAATACCATTCTAAAAGATACTGCATTCTCCCTCTCATCGTAGTTACATATAGCGGCTGCCAACGGCTATCTGCATGCCGCAGAGATTCTCCTAGATCATGGAGCAAGACTGGATGTCAAGGACTGGGATGGCTGGGAACCCCTCCATGCTGCTGCCTTCTGGGGACACGTATGTGTTTTGTTGCACTGTTTAAAGTAGGCATAGACTATTTATAGAGCTCTGTCTGTAGTTTTTACACACAACTGCTAAATGGACCTGCCATTTGCCGAAGAACTGGATGACACGGAACATCATTGTTCACTAAGTGGTAAGCCCCTTAATGCCCTTGTTTTTAGTTTCCCAGAAGAATCTGAGTGACCATTCAGGGAAGGAGATACAGCTGATGCATATAAGTTTTCAGTCATTTTTTGTTTTTGAAATACAGCTTCTAGAACTCTCCAGATAGCGTGGCCAAGGAACTTTTTCCAATCTGCTGATTTAGCTGATTTTATCTTTTGGTGTTATCTTAGTTTGTGTGACACAAAATGATGATTTGGAAGACAGCCACACAGTTATGTTCTCTTTTTCTGTATTCCAGATGCAGATGGCAGAGCTGTTGGTGTCCCACGGTGCAGATTTGAATGTCCGGACAGCCATGGATGAGATGCCAATAGGTGAACTTCTATTTCCCTTTGAAGTCTCTAGACTGAATGAATCAATGGATGAATCACTGAGTGATTCATCCAAGTGGAAAGCCCATTGGAGTTTCAAATGACCCGCTTCCCTTTATGAGTGGGCCTCTCAGCCTGCTCTGCACTAATATCCTCAAAGCAGCCTGATGTTCATGCCACACCTTACCTTCTGAGGGAGGAAAGAATTTACACTGAGGCTGGAAAATCGTATTTCATGCTCTCACAGAATTTAAACTACGGCAGTGTTCTCCTGTGTGGGATGCATGAATGTGCAATCATACCTATAGAGGAAGCCTGAGCATGCATTTGAGTGAACTGTTACTTGTGTGCTGGTGAATTCCAAGTGGGGATTCAGAGTCAGATCTCCCAAGTCCTGGTCCAGCACGCTGCCCGCTACACCACACTGGGTATCTCGATGTTCAAACTAGCTTACAAAAGTAGAAATGGGCATGGGAACTCAATAGAGAAACAAAATGGGGAAAGAAAAATATACAAGATATGAGCCTGGCCTATGCATATATATTATTATAAACTGAAGATATATCAAAATAAAAAGATTTGCTTGGAGCTGACGTTGATAAAATAGGTGTGTTTGTGAGCAAAAATGGAAACCATTTATTGTTTACAACTTCCAGAATTGCCATACTGTCTGAAAGATTCTGAAACTAAAAGTAAAAAAAAAAGAGTTAAAAAAGCGTCTCTTCATGCGTAGCTAAAGTAGTGAGATCTCCCCAATGAATGATGGGCAGTGAGCATTTATGTTTGCATTTATCTTGGGGCATGAGTCTTTTAACTATTTTGAGATCATGTTGGAGCCAGCTATATTGATCATCAGCTTAGTTAAATGTTGTTAGCCATTATGGTAGAGTGGATAGAGAGATGAACTAGGATCCACGAGACCTGAGTTTGGTTTTCCGCTCAGCCATGGCAACTCATGGAAGTGGGTAGCATTTGTAAAACCACTGGTTAAATTTCTCATTTACCTTGAAAACCCTATTATAGTCAGTATAAGTCAGATGGTTGGACAGTGTCACTGAAGTTACCAACATGAATTTGACCAAATTCCGGGAGGCAGCGGAAGACAGGAGGGTCTGGCGTGCTCTGGTCCATGGGGTCACGAAGAGTTGGACATGACTTAACAACTAAACAACAATAAGTCAGATGTGATTTGATGGCACATAACATACATAATATGTTTATCATGACTATCTTTAAGTCCTATTGATTTCAAGGTCTGTTCCAAGTATAGGTTTGTCTCTGTTGAACTCATAATGATCAGACTATATGGAAAGCTGCTCATATACTTGACATAAGTAGCTTTCTTGGGCTGAAACAAGAGCATGCCCTCAACTCCCTTTCCCAAACTCCTGTGCATCAACTAAGAATGTTTGAGAAAGCTGAACTTTGTGAATTCTGATACCAACTGGTCTACTTCTGTAGGGCTACTATAGATTAGAACATAGCTAACGTTTAGGTTCCAAATTTCTCAAAACTTATTTGATGTTCAAAAATATATTCAAGTGTGTTTTAAAATGTTTATGTTGTGAGCAAATGCATTCAAAACTGAGTGGTTGATGAAAGAAATTAAATCCAGAGATATAGGCTGAAATTCTGTTGCTTAGCATAAGTTGTAGTAGAGTAGACCCATTGAGCCAGTGGGAATTTGGTGACTCAACACTTATGTAGGTTCCATTGATTCAATGGACCTTATAGAGGGGCTGAGTCACCAAATATCCACTGATTCAGAGGGCCTATTGTAGTGTGACTTGCTACACTAAACAACAGGATTTCAGTCATAAATTTAAATGATAATTTCATGATTATCTTTTTTAAAAAAAACATGGATTGATTTAGAAACAGACTGAAAATAGACATATCCATCTGCACTGTTAGTCCAAGTTCACTCATTAAAAAAAAAAGACAGAGCTCACAAATGAGCACATGCAAAAGTGACACAGACTGAAAAGAGGGGAATCTATCTGGACTGGCAGTCCAAGTTCACCCATCATTGCTACAGCTTCCAGTTCTATGGCCATCTTACTTCCATCTTCTCAGTGCCATGCCTCATCATATCTCTTCTTGTGGGGGAGCAGCCACCTAGCTTTTCACCTGCCCTGTGTATACAGCAGTACTGGCCATGTAAAGTGGCTGAAGCTGTCTTACTGAGAGTCAGCTAACATTGCATTGGGGGCCCAGCCTAATGAATTTACTGGCTCTGTCCATCCATTCCTTCTGTCAAGACAATTTCCCAAAAAGGAATGCAAATCTGACCAGATGCTCATGGCATCTTTCCCTACAGTCCTCTTAGGTTGAAGATGGGCTTGCCTTCCTTCACCTCTGTTGCGCCTTGTTGAATGCAATCATTCATGGATAAAAAGAAGCTCACAGTTTGTTGTCCTCAGTCTCAGGTGTTGATCTTGTAGAACTCAAGATAAATGCAACGTGTTTGCTGAACTTTAACTATCAGGACAGGTTTTTTTTAAGCTTCCTCCTCATCCAGTAGCTCATGCAGGTACTTGCTTTGTATCCTTTTAGACCTCTGTGAAGAAGAGGAGTTTAGAGTTCTGCTCTTAGAACTAAAGCATAAGCACGATGTCATCATGAAATCTCAGATGAGACATAAGTCATCCTTGAGCCGGAGAACCTCCAGTACTGGAAGCAGAGGGTGAGTGGGCTGGAAAAATGCCCTTGTTGTTAAATATATATTTGTCCTTTTAAGGGAAATCCAAGTCTAAAGTTTTAGGAGGGTTTTTCAGCTGGCTGCAATTGATTGTTTGAACTTTTGTAGGCTTATTTTCAACATTAGGACATAATTCCAACGTAAAAAGTTAAAACAAGCAGGCTTCGTGTTATTCTTGATTTTGTTCAGTTTTTTATGCTATAATTTAATGCCCATGAGCACCATCTTGTGCCAATTGTGAGTCATTTTTTATTATAATGGTAAGGGTAGGGGGACGGCTGTTATTTTGTATTTATGTTGTGCTCTTCTTGGAAACCACCCAACTAATAGCATGCCACAAGATGGTATGGTATAAAAATTGATTGATTGAATGAATGAATGATAATGAAATGAAAATACTGAGCAAATATATTTACTTGCAAATTGCTGCTGGAAGCTAAAATTATATTGAGCATGTTTGGTTTCTTCGTAAGAAAAGTCTTAAGTTGTTGTGGGGTTGTTGTTTTTTGTTCCAAATTCTTCTATATATCACAATCCAAAGGACAACCACTGATACACATTTTCCCCTGTTTCCAAAGAGCTATTCTACACATACACCAGACTATTTGCACATCATGCTTCCAAGATAGGATGAGAAAATGATTGGCTCTCACTCATCCAATGAATTCACGTGGTTGTTTAGGGGTCTGAATGCAGGATGTCCTAGTACGTATAACTCCCAGCACTCTGTGTCCTGTATCATGTTGGCTGTATAGGCCAGGCTGTGTTATTTGGGAGGGCTGGGAAGAAATCTGAACTCACACAAAAGATCATGTTGGACTGTAGTCTGTTTGCTTTACTGAGGACAAAATTGTCTTAATTACAATTTTAAAATAAAATATAGTTTTATTGCTGAGCTTTCTTTTTGCAGAGTAAGAAAAGCAAAAAGGAGCTAGCTGAGTTCCAAGAAATGTTGACAGTGCTATCATGTTACAGGAAAAATTCACCATTCACCCATACTACCAAAGGTTGGATAGGAAAAACTAAAAGAAATTGACCCGATCAAAACCTATTCCATAATCTAAACTTCAGTTAAGTTTAGTATGGCGACCAAAGGGTTATGACTGTAGTCTATTCTTAGTCTTTCTGTATTGCAAGAGGGCACAGTGCTTGCTAACATTGAATGGGGGCCACCTGGTGGTCACTTTTCTTAATGGGAACCAATGATTTAGGATAGTGTAAAACAGTTACCTTTGCAATCTCAGCTTTTTCATGTCGCAGCATGGCAGAAAGAAAGAGCCCTGATTTTTCAAGGAAGACATATGCATGTTTATGCTATTACAGTTGCCTTTTACAGTAAACTGATGCTCTGGGGAGAGGATCATTAGGAAGAACACTCAACATTCAGAGTGATTATTAGCAAGCCAGAAGATCACAGAGGAATAATTAGGAGGCAGATAGGTGAATAGGAGAGATGGCATATCACACTTTCAGGAGGACAGGTTGATTCCTAGCCATTGTTTTGTTATGAAAGCCTTGTGCCGCACCTAGGCTATTTCTCTCTCACATCACTAGTTAAGAACCACTGTCCAGAAAAGAACTCTTACACCCATGTTGTGGATCCATAATAATTTCTACAAATGCTTTCATGAATTCTGAGGATGAGCCATGGCTGGTAAAATGTGAGTTGTCTCTGGCGTCGTACTGTAATGGATATATATCTCCTGTGATTTTTCAGAATTGGGAAATAGTTTTGGAGATTAAATGGATCTATGTCCTTTTTCCATATATGACCCTTGGTGCACTTTTGAGCTTACATGATGTTCTTTTTGTGGGCCCAAATTCTGGAAGTGATTTCAAATGCTTTTTGTCATAGGAGGGAGTTCCTGGGCTGACCTATGGAAATAAGGTCACTGTCTCTCTGTTCAAGCAAGCTTTCTTTTACATGACTATGGGGAATTTTTAAAGGGATCATTTTATTCTGTGTTTTATCCTTTGTTTTCTTTTAATCTTGCTCTTATGAGTTTTAAAATATTTGTTTTATACTTTTAAAATATTGTAATAATTTGTTATTTGGCTTTAACTTGCTTCTTTTAATACTGAAAGCCACTTTGGATCCTCTAGCTAGCAGAAAGACAACATACAAAAAAACTAAAGAAACTATGTGCATCTGTATATATATCTATATATCTATCTATACATGTTCCCTGTTTGCACTGTCATGAGAAGCTAGATTGACCCCTTATCTCTTGTCCTTCTGTTGTCAGGCAAAGACCTTCCTTCTCAGGCAGGCTTTTAAAGAATAAGTGGAGTTTAGAGAATGCTCTATTGATGACACTTAGATTAGATTTTTTTTCAAAAATTATATTTTATTTATACAAAACCCAAAAAAACAAACAAAAAGAAAAAAAATCTAATAATAATTGACCCCTTATCTCTTCTCCTTCTGTTGTCAGGCAAAGACCTTCCTTCTCAGGCAGGCTTTTAAAGAATAAGTGGAGTTTAGAGAATGCTCTATTGATGACACTTAGATTAGATTTTTTTCCCCCGAAAATTATATTTTTATTTATACAAAACCCAAAAAAACAAACAAAAAGAAAAAACATCTAATAAACAAATATCTAAATGCTTTATATCTTCTGCCAGACGGTAACAGTTCAAATATCTAATATCTAAATATTATCTAAATATTAGATAAGCAAATATCTAAATGCTTTACCTGTTTTTAAAATAGTTTTTAATCTTGTTCAATGTGTAATTGTTTTTAATATATAGTTTTGTATAGTTTTTAAACTCATTATTGAACAGTTTTAATTGTTGTGAACTGCCTTGGGTCCCCTATGAGGAGAAAAATGGCAAACAAGCAAACAAACAAATGGAAATCAGAATGCTTGTGCTATATTAGCAGCCGTATCCAATATTGTCCAAAATCCTGTTTCATTTTGCTACTATGTAAAACATGTTACACCCATGCAGAATATTTTGCCTTCTTGTTCGGGTTACTTCATTCATTTGCACTGTTATGAAGGAGGACTGAAAAATTCTTGCCTAAACACTACAGAAATAAGTTTGAGCTTAAAATGAAGATTGGCCCAGTTTCATGGTTGAATGAAGATTTGAATCCAAGAGCTGATTCCTATTCCAGGCAGATTTCTCTCTTCAGGGTTAGAAACATTTATTTTTAATAAGCAAAATGAGGGATTCTGAGGAATAGAATAGGAGTGGCAAGCAGACCCACACAGAAAAAATGGTGGATATATTTCACCTCAGGTATTTCATCTTCAGTCTTCAGAACAGCTTAAATGTCCTTGAAACTGTTATTGGATTCATCAGTGTTGCTTGCTTGTAACTGTTGAGGATAAAAGTTAAGTAATTTAACTATGAAAAGGGTATGCAGTTGGACTCATGTAACTTAGCAATTTCTGTGAAGCTCCTTAAAAAGTTCTAAAATATTTCACGCTGGTGTGCAATTGTTCAAGAAGGCTTGTCTTCAATAATAATTCTGTACTTTGCATCTTTTCCTCAGAAAAGTGGTGCGCAGGGCAAGCCTTTCTGACCGAACAAATCTTTATAGGAAGGAGTATGAGAAGGAGGCCATCATCTGGCAGCAAATAGAGCCTTCAGAAGAGCAAAGAACATCTGAATACAATGGTGATATCCGAGAAGTTTGCTCCAACGAAGAGAATATTGATCTGGTATGAGACAATGCCATAATCTGATGTCAGAATTAGGGCATGTCCAGTTGGCATCTTAAAGGAACATCATTTTAAGAAAACGTCCTCAGCATATGAATTCCGTTATCCAGACTCCCTAAGCCTCAGTGGGCACTCTTCTTTAGCTCCATGTCAAACTCAGGTGACTATTTCCCAAGGTAGTTTGGATACGATGTGTGTCAAAGAGGTATGCAAGAACAATATATTAAATAAGACATCTTTGCCTTTTTAAAGAATATTTTTTACAAGTTAGCCAAAAAGCCCTGGAGCAATTTAACATATTAGAGCAGCTTTCTCAAACCAGGTCCTTCCATGTATGTTGAGTACACCCCAATCATCAACAACATCCGATGTGGCTAATGGGCCATAGTGGTGTTGAGAATTTTGATTATAACGTGTAGTCTCGTAACATCAGCAGAGTAAAGAGATATTGGTTAGCATAGATACTATGACACTGAGAGAGTAAAACATCAACTTAGTCTGTTTACATATATACATAGAGAATAGACATTCAACTGGCAGCATGACATAATACAACACACAACGTAGGAAAAATTGATGTGACTTACAGCAGATGCAATGTCCCAGTTTTCATATGACTTATGTACAACAGTTCTGGGACCAATCAAAGAATACATTACATCATCTTCAGTTACATAAAGTTTCACCATCTACCAGAACTGTACAGCATTTAGTCTGAAACCTTGATCCACACCTGAATACAATCTATACATGACTCACGTAAAATCAGCCATCAGCCATTTTACATTTAACTATACAACAGTAATATTTAATACATTCACATCAAAATCTCATCAATGGATCAGGGGTAGAAATGTTTATGGTTGCCCCCCAGGCCTCATTGCTAACTAGGGCCCAACTGTGGTCTCTAGAACTCCTATGCCCCCATGTCCCCCTTACCTTTTTTCAAAGAAAAATTGTACTCAAAAGATGGCTCCCAAGGATGTGAGAGCAATTTCACCAGGGTTTTCCTCATGAGCTATCTTAGGACATGGAGTATCTTTTCTTCCTCTTCTTTTTTTCAATCCTATAAGCAAATTATGGGGATTTCTAAGTAGTCCCCTGGCCTAAAATACAACTATTTTAAAAAGGGCAACCAAACCTGGTGAATGGTTGTGGTGGGTTTTTCAGGCTCACTGGCTGTGTTCCGAAGGTTGTTCTTCCTAACCTTTTGCAAGTCTCTGTGGCTGGCATCTTCAGAGGACTGGAGTCAGAACTCTGTCTGTGTTCTGGTGCAGTTTCACCTGGTGAAATTGCCTCCTAGACCACTAGAGGGAACTTCTAAGATCTTGTGAGTAGGGGCAATGTCAGTTCTCCAAAATACAGTGGTGCCTCACAAGACAAATGCCTCCCAGGAGGAAAAACTCACAAGACAAACGGTTTTGGCAATGGGGTTGATGACTCGCAAGACAAATGTTCCTATGGCCGTGCTTCGCAAGACTAATGTTTTCCGCTTTTTGTTCCTGCCTCATGTTTGCTGATTTTAAAAGTTTTTCTATGATGTTTAAAAAGTTAGTTTTTTGATTGAAATTTTTGAAATCATCTGCACAATATGTATGTGTTTAACAAGCACTTAATAAATTCTTTGTAAATCAAACTGGACTTTGTTCCGACTTTTTTGCCCATAGGAACGCATTAGTAGTTATATTTCAGTGCATTCCTGTCCTGTGGGAAAACGCGTTTTGCAAGACGAATTTTTCGCAAGACAACATTAAGCATGGAATGAATTAAATTTGTCTTGCAAGGCACCACTGTACAGTGGAAAGCATGTGTAGTCTCAAGAGCTAGAGTCCTTAAAGTCTTTGCTTTAAAAGATGATAATACTAGTTCCAACAAACCTGAGCAGATGCCAGGCTCGGGAGAGATTGTAGTGAAATGAAAGGCCTTTTGACAATTTCCATTCCTTCCTGTTTGTTTTTGTTTGTATAGGTAAATTATCTGGTTGCATGATAGAATGAATGGATTAACTGACAGGTGAGCCTGGGCAAGTGACAGAACAGCTAGGACAGTTGGAAGCAGGAAGGAATATGCCTCCATAGCACTTCGTTGTGATTGGCTGCATTCCCCAGGCCAATGGAGAGGAGGAAAAGAGTATGCAAGAGTGAGTGAGCATTTGGCTAGTTAGATAGGATTGTGAATTTTCAGTAGATAAGGGATACAGTGGGTTAAGTTAGAGTGTTAAAGATAGCTGATAGTGGATATAAGGCTTAAATTAGGAATGAATTTGTGGCAGATGAGAGTTGTGATGAATAAATTGTGACTGAGAGATGAAAAAATAGAATTGGAATATGATAAGATAGATAAAAAGCTGTATGAATGATATGATTAGTTTGCATTGTTGTTATTCCAGTTTTATTATTTAACCTCTTACAACACCATTTGTTTTATATAATTTTTTCTTTATTATCTAGTGGTAGTTGTCCAAGAATAAAAACCCACACTAGTTGTTTAGCTGTAGCCCAGCAAAGGGGGAAGTAGAGGGAAAGAAAAGCATAACTATTGAAAGGTGGTTTGGGATTCGGTTATGGCAGTATTGCTTAAGGATTAGATTCCTAGCAAAAGGCTGAAATAAAATCTTTCCACAAGTTGAAGTGGAGAGTGAAGACCCAGCTAGTTAGACAACAATGTGAATGAATATACTGCACACCCATCTGAGTAGTTGTTAGGGCATAGCCATGAACAGAAGACCCTGTATACTATTGAAAGATGACAAAACAGCTAACAGAGGCATGTATCACAGGTCTCCTGGAGGTTGATTGTATGATATTTTAGGTTAGGCATCCTTCAGTCTCGAAAGACTATGATAACGTGGTCTGAATAGAGGTTTTGGAACAGCATCAAGTGTGGCTGAGAAGGCCAATTTGAGAGTGACAATCCCTTCCACACTGAAGACAAATCCAATCTGTCCCCTGTCAAGCTCCCTGGTTTTTCTGCTTTTGTGACTTCCTCTTTGCCTCAGCCTGCTGGAAAAGGGTCTCTTCAAATTGGGAGAGGCCATGATGCAATGCCTGCCTCCAGGCTGAATGCTCAGATGTCAGGGTTTATTATTTGTTGAGGTCTATTCCTAAGGCCTTCAGATCCCACTTGCAGATATCCTTGTATTGCAGCTGTGGTCTCCCTCTGGGGCGATTTCTGTGCACTAATTCTCCATACAGGAGATCCTTTGGAATCCGACCATCAGCCTTAACCTCTTACAACACCATTTGTTTTATATAATTTTTTCTTTATTATCTAGTGGTAGTTGTCCAAGAATAAAAACCCACACTAGTTGTTTAGCTGTAGCCCAGCAAAGGGGGAAGTAGAGGGAAAGAAAAGCATAACTATTGAAAGGTGGTTTGGGATTCGGTTATGGCAGTATTGCTTAAGGATTAGATTCCTAGCAAAAGGCTGAAATAAAATCTTTCCACAAGTTGAAGTGGAGAGTGAAGACCCAGCTAGTTAGACAACAATGTGAATGAATATACTGCACACCCATCTGAGTAGTTGTTAGGGCATAGCCATGAACAGAAGACCCTGTATACTATTGAAAGATGACAAAACAGCTAACAGAGGCATGTATCACAGGTCTCCTGGAGGTTGATTGTATGATATTTTAGGTTAGGCATCCTTCAGTCTCGAAAGACTATGATAACGTGGTCTGAATAGAGGTTTTGGAACAGCATCAAGTGTGGCTGAGAAGGCCAATTTGAGAGTGACAATCCCTTCCACACTGAAGACAAATCCAATCTGTCCCCTGTCAAGCTCCCTGGTTTTTCTGCTTTTGTGACTTCCTCTTTGCCTCAGCCTGCTGGAAAAGGGTCTCTTCAAATTGGGAGAGGCCATGATGCAATGCCTGCCTCCAGGCTGAATGCTCAGATGTCAGGGTTTATTATTTGTTGAGGTCTATTCCTAAGGCCTTCAGATCCCACTTGGAGATATCCTTGTATTGCAGCTGTGGTCTCCCTCTGGGGCGATTTCTGTGCACTAATTCTCCATACAGGAGATCCTTTGGAATCCGACCATCAGCCATTCTCACGACGTGCCCAAGCCAACATATGAAAATCAATAAATGAGGGCAATAGTGTTGATCAAGTAGTAATTGGATGGCGATGGCTAAGCTTCTTTATGTTGTTGTTTTCTCTTACAGAACAATACAGTAGATACCTGTGCTGTTGTTCCAGAACTGCTAACCAAAGGCACACAATGTGACTCAGACACTGTGCTGCAGAATGGGGTCGGCTTATCCTCCACCACTTATCAGTACTCAATCCCCAATGGAGACGTTTGGAAAATGCATTCTGCTCTGAACAATGATGCAAGCCAAGCATTGCCCTATGATACCCCCATAATCCCTGACTCTCATCAAATCTGGGGTGGCTACAAAGAAAGAAGCCATCAAACCCTATCTGAGCTGAAACGGCAGCGGGCAGCAGCCAAGCTTCTCAACCACCCCTTCATCAGTACACACTTTGGTAGCAATGTGGGAAGCACCACAGAAAATGGGGGAGAAGCTAAAGAGCACCTGATTAGCCCCAGGACTCCTACTTATGCATCCAATGGGACTTCAGTTTACTATACAGTATCAAGTGGTGATCCACCCCTCTTAAAATTCAAAGCTCCCATGGAGGAAATGGAGGAGAAGGTGCATGGGTGCTGCAGGATATCCTGATCTAATTTCATTCCTCATTGGTGAAGTAACAAAGTTGGGTGGGAATGTGGTGCCCACTACTGAGTGGGAGAATCTGGATCTGTCATCTGGCCAGGCTGTACTGGGCCTTTTCATTTCTAGTATCTTACTTTGCTTTTTTGCAGTTACCTTAAAAATCAGACACATACAAGTGGCAAAGAAAAGTCCAGGGGAAGGAAGAAAACAAAACAAAACATACTCTTGGTCACAGGCTATGAAAGATCATTAAATCCATTTGATGAAATATCCCCATCTTATTTAGGATTTCAGTTTTTGAGCTTCTTGGGTCACTAGCCTTCTGGAAATTGCCATTTTGAGAACAAAACCCCTCTCAGCACATCCTTGGTGCACAACTATCTAAAGGTATGTGATCTGAGCCCAGTACTTTTGCAAACAGAGTAAGTGGACCGTGGAAGGGTCCATGGGAATGTGAGTTTTTTTGCACTTAGGAGATGTATGCACTTTAACAACTGATTGGAAAGTCTAGCTTGTTATATGACAGCACAGTTGAGATATAATCCACCCCATTGCCAATTTTTAAGCCATCATTTCCTGCTGTACTTTTTTTTTTAATATTTTGAGTTTCTTGGAGAAATGGAGTCCATGGCTGTTGTCTACGTCCATCACTGGTTGTATTTTTAGTCTGCATATATGCATATTTTGACATGTTTCCCTGATGAAGTCGAGTTAATGTTCATTGTGTTCCATCCGAAAGCTACTGCCTTTGGAATTTTCCAAAAGCACTGCTGGGCAAGATCTTTTGTCTAGCCACATAAACATTATTTCTCAGCCCTCTTTGTTCCTGAAATATAGTTTAAGAAAATGAAATTAATCTAAAATGCCTCTGAAATATTGAAATTGTTGGTCAACCTACTTTTTGAACATTGGCTGTGATTTTCATATTGTTCTCATACATTTTTCACTTTTCATACCTTTCTTTTCTGTCCTGACCACTAAGGAAAAATGGCCAGAATGTTTAAGTTTGAAAACACTTAGTTAAAATATATATCTAAGTAGTACTACACAATTTGGAAGGTGCTGGACTGCCACTGAAGACAGCACCCTAGGGTTAAGGGGGAATCATGACATGTAGACCTAATTATCTGATGCTTTGTGTAGTGACATGGTCCATTCTAGTTAGCATCAGTGACTACCATAACTGGAATAGAGAAGGATCACATGTCATGATGTTGCTGCAAATGTTACTATACAGAAAAACGGAATTGTGCCCTCTGTAGCTCTGTTCACATGGGGAATTCTCATGCTGAGCAAAAGCGATTACTTAGCAATAATTTCAGAATACACTGGTGAACACCATTGCACCCAATGTTTGGAAGAAGAATATTTTGCAGCCACGGATAGATGTGCATTTTTGTTGTATTTGAGTGTCCCTTTGCATGTTATGTTTTGGCAGTAATGTTAGCCATTGAACACCTTTAGTCTGTCACCTTGCCTCACAACCAAGAAGCAACATTTATTTGTCTTAGGTTCCTGTAAATAACCCTGGGGGGGTGGGAAGATGTGATGACTCAATCTCTTCTCAGTTTTACATGTGCTATGCAATTTCATTGCCTGAAGATTAGACTTAATTATTTTTCTTTCAGACAACCTAAAGAGAGGTCTATCTTTTCCTTAGCAACAAAAGCAATATACAGTAAACGGAATGGCAATCTTAAGATGACTAGGCAACTTGTCCTATTGAAAATGCTTGCCTACGGCTGTACCATTTGAGATAATTAGAGGCCTTTAAAAGCCCACATGTACACCAAGTAAACACAATGCAAGTATTTATAGTTTTATCAAATATATTTTGGGAATTTAATAGTATACACTTGCTGAAGTGCAAGCATGAAGCAGCCATCAATGTAAAACAGAAGGATAGCAGGAGCATATGTTTCTTGGCAATTGTTTCTGGTTAATATAAAAGCACTAAGGATCTCTTGTTAAAAAAGTACCTCTGAAACCAATCATGAAGGAAGAGAAGATATAGAATAATTCAAGATTGTACCTACAAGGCAGTATTCAGTAAAGTTTACAAATGTTCTGTCACAGTTACCTGCATTCGTTGCTTATAATGTTGAAAAATCAGCCCGAAAGTTGTTGAAGAAATGTCTTCTAGTGAAGGTCCCTCTTGTCACTAAATTTTAACACATTCTTTTTTAGACTATGCGTTGCATAAAGATTTGGATATTTGATCACCTCATTGGGATCCTCAAGTTAAATTCCCCAATTGTCATAAATATATTCAACTTTTAAAAGGGCTATGGATCGGAATGCAGAATGGAAACAGAATGTAGTATGGCAGAAGCTCCCTTCCTTCTTGCATGACAACCCTTTGAAAGGAAAGCTATAATTCCTTTACTATGATCTAAACCAGTGGTTCTTAACCTTTGTTACTCGGATGTTTTTGAACTGCAACTCCCAGAAACCCCAGCCAGCACAGTTGGTGGTGAAGGCTTCTGGGAGTTGCAGTCCAAAACTCCTGAGTAACCCAAGGTTAAGAACCAGTGGTCTAAACCAGTAGTCTTCATGCCAGCATCCTCCTTGGAGACTGGCATTGACTGTGGTCCCACCTTTGAAGGGGAAGAGATTTCTATTGTCTATTCCTGAACAGCTGATACTTCTTTGCCCTTTCTTTCTAGATATTTGAGTGTGCCAAGCCATGCTTTTACAGCTCTTGTACGCTCAACAATACCCTCAACCTCAGAGACATTCTGTTTGCCACATCCTTATCTCCTTGATGACAGCAACTCCCAGAACTGGTGTGTAAGGCTAGCTTCTGCCCAGTCAGTTGCTGGAGCAAACACTGGGCACACTGCAGCCATGTGTGGTTCTTGCTGCTTCTCAGACAGCAAACTGGATGTTGTAATCAAGCATCTTGGAGAGTGTCTCCTTAGTATGCACTTATTCCCCAAGTCCTACTAATGATGTCTTCCCCAATTCACCCTAGCTATTTACTCTCTCTTTCTGAAGCTACATTGACACAGCACATATGCTGTTCTTATTTGCATAATTTATTAGTCATTTTTTCCAATGTATATAAAACTTGATAAACATTGATTCTTCCAATTTATTATCCTTACTTCTGTCCCTCCCAGGCTCTGGGAGGATCTGTTTAAGAAAGTGACTCCAAAAAAATGAGAATCACAGATGAGATAGCTTTTTCTGCCCATTTCATCAGGAGGAACTGTGAGAATCCCTCCTCCCCTTTCTTTCTCCTTCTCATTCTTATTTTGTCCTCCTCCTCATTTTCTGCTCCTTAAAAACCAAAAAGGAAACATTGTAGTATCACAGGAGAAGGCCACTTTAAATGAAGCTTCAGCCTGTTTGTAGGGCTTGGCCAACTGAAGATCTGTCATCTACTCCAAACATGATCACATAAAGATAAGGGAAGGAGGTGTTGGGTGCAAATATTCTGAGCTTCTGTTTGTTTTGTGACAGGAACGTATGTTTAATTGAAGTTGTGAGTCAATAAACTGAAGAGTATTTCTCCTTGATTAGAGACATCTTAACAGACATCTGGCATAGTCTGCCTGCCAAGTAACTAGGAATGTGATAGAAAGCCAGAATGACATTGCACTTTACCTGGCAGGCAAAGTACACGGTGGATATGCTGGAAAATCTTTACTGTGCATAGTATGAGCTGCCCCTTAATGCTACATTAGACCATTGCAGTTGGGGCAGCATTCATCTGGAAGCCCTACCAAACACAGGAGAACAAGTTTTCAAATAAGTATACATAGGAACAAACTTCTAGTGAAACATTTTATTCTAGGGATTGTATTAGATGGCACATGAACGGCAGCCTCAGGGTACAGAGTTCATATGCACAGGAGGAGGAGTGTTTGAGGGACTTCCATCTTTGTGGAATAGTAGAGTATTATGAAAAAGAGCTGCTATTTCATAGGGCAAATGAAGAGAAACATCTCTGTGGCACATTCTGTCCAGCTTTAAGTCCCGGTTCATTACCATATTCTTGTGGGGTGGGTGGGAATTTGTATTTTTCTTAGGGGAGACTTCACCAGCATAACATAATTTTGAAGGATCTAGGAGGAGAATTTTGGGAGGCAGGGAGGCCATGGCACTTAAATCAATTTGGACAAAATCTTTATTGGTGATTTGCATTTGTTACAGTAACCAGTTGTCACTCATTAACAAGGTGCTGGATGTGCTCCTGCACATGCTCTCAATTATGCAACAGTGTCGAGGAACCTGTCACCCTATTAATGAGCGACGATTTGCTGCTGCATCTTAGATGATTTCCATTACCCAAACATAAACCCTCAATAGGATTCTGGTCTTTATTTCCTAGTATAGCCACATCTAATACATGTGGTGCCTGGCACAAAGGAGACACCATATTGCACAGAGGCATCAGATATAGGCCACTTCCTCATAAAGCTTTTATTGTGTAATTGCCCTATCTCATTCAGTGTGTTATTTTGGAGGGAAGGGGACATACACACAACATTGACTTCCACTTCTCACCTTCATATGATGGAAAAGTGGTATTTCCTCAACAATTTCCCCATCATGTATATATGTTTTTTGAGGGGGGGGTGTTGTATATATTTTTTAAAAAAATTAACTAGAAAAGAAAGAAGAGCTGCACTGTGAATTATTACTCTAGAAGTACTTGTTTGTCCTTTAGCAAGATGTAAAGAAGTACAACTTTTGGAAATGTAGAAACTGTGCAAATAGTATTTTTATGTAGCTTTTGGGGAAAACAGAAATTTGGGGAAAAAACAGAAAATATGTAATATTTTGAAAGTATCCATTATAGGTTTAGATCTGAAATCTGTGTTACTCTAGGAACATAAAACATGTACAAATTTGCTTCACTCATAAATCTATCATGTTTTGATGTATTAAAGTATGCTTTTTCAGACAGTATTTACAAGTTGATGTTCAAAATCATAAATTTTTGTTACAAATGGACTTTCATGACGATGAATTGTAAGAAATCTATCTTAGCTTTGACCAATGTTCAAAAAAATAGGCAAGAGATTACAGCTGAAAAGAAATCATTGAGATTACAGTAAAGCAAAGAAATTATATATTCAAAATTTATTACTTTACAATGTCAAGCAGGAAACATTGAGTTTCAGAAGAAGTAAGGAGAGGAAGGGGGGAGGCTCAAAATTTGATGCACTCTATCCAGTTAATCCCAACTAGAGTAGACCTGTCAGATGAATAGTACTTATTAATTCACATTGGTGTAGCTTCCATTGATCCAATGAGATTAGAAATTGGATTTAGCTCATATAATATTACTCTTACTTTATGAAATTTAGTCACATTTTCTGAACTGTCACTTTTAGCAGTTTCCTCATCTTGGATCTTTTATTACCTTTTTTAATGTCTAAACATGGAAGGTTTGCTCATATTGAAAAACACTTATTTACCCTTTCACGTGTTCGTTTATGTCTTGATTTGCACATTTCAGAGCATAGGGCATTTCCTTTAATGGGGAAGTCTGAAGTAAGATAAGGGTTAAAAATATCAGGAGACTCGCCACCATGCTGCAGGAAGGATGTACTTGGTAGAATCTTGGACTGCATTCTTGGGTGAAATACCTGACAATACTAGAACCATCATCATCACCTTAGAACTGCTGGAAGGGACTATCGAGTACAATCCTTGTCATGGAGGCAGAGTGAGCAATCAAACTCTCGACCTCTGGCTCTGCTATAGAGCAGTTCTATATGCTATAAAATTTTTGGAAGTTTATTTCCATTATCAAGTCCTAAGTAACCTTAGGAATCATTTGGGGGGAAGTAAAGACCAGGTAATGCTTGTGTATTTAAGTCTAGAATAAAATGTGTTTTTAATTTTTTTAATGTAAACAAAAATAATCAACATATTATTTACACCTTAGAAAAATCTATATAAATTGTGCTCCCCCGGGACCATTTGCGATTACAGGAAGACCCTCATATCCACTGGTGACTGGTCCCCCATGGATAATAGCAATCTCTCTCTCTCTCTCTCTCTCTCTCTGATGCTAAAAGGAAAAAAAAACTAGAAAAAACATATTTTCATATGCATTGCTGGAACTGGCCACCAGAGGAAACAAGAGACTGTGCTATGTTATGAATACTAACATGTATTCATAACATAGTTTCTGTCTCCCTCTTCTGGCCAGTTCTGTGAGAACAGTTTTTTCTGGATTTTCTTCTTTTAATATTTTAACTATGTTCATACCATGGATAAGTGAAAGCGTGGATATTTATCCCATGGATACGGAGGCACTACTGTACAACTATTTTTTCCATCTATGCAGTCTGTTCCCCTTCCAAAATTGGATCAACTATTGCAAAAGTGTGCACCCCTTTCAATATTTCAATATTCTTTATTAATACAAAATTAATGAATTCTCCCCATATATCTATACATATATTTATCAGCCCCTTCTTAACTTCTTAACATGTTACCTTATAATTTATAGCTGTAACCCAAAACACACTATCCCATTCACTTAGCTGACAATTAGACATTGTTTTCCAATTCCTAATTACAATTAGTCTTGCTGCTGTTTATAGAAAATTAATTCTTTAGTTGTCTAATTATTTGCTCCCTATCAAATACTGATAAAATTGTGATTATTGGACATACCGCTAGATTTAACTTAGTTACCTCATTTGTTTCCTTAAAGACTGACTGTTCAAATCCAAGACCAACCGCTAAAATATATGCTCACATTCGTGCCACATTATGAAAATAAGTACCTACTTTCTGATATCCTCTTCAACACAACTTGAAATGATTAACATCTATTAGATTTAATTTCACTGGAGTTAAATACCATTTCCAAACTAAGTTCTAAAATGTTCCTTTATTCTTACAAACACACAGCCATGGCCAAAAATATTGCCACCCTTGCAATTCTGTCAGAAAATGCAAACCTTCTTTCAGAGAATTGTTTCAGTTGCATTTTGGGGTTTCTGTGTGGGATTGTATCAGATTTGACTTTTCTTCTCTGTTATTTTTTTGTGTTGTTCCAACGCAAACCAAAGAAATGATCATGCGAATACCAAAACATTTGCAGCTGCAACAATTTTCTGAGAGAAGGGTTGCATTTTCTGACAGAATTGCAAGGGTGCCAATATTTTTGGTCATGAATGTAGATTTCAATATTCTTGTAACCAATGTAATTTTCCAAACCCTGGTACTTATTTCTTGTCCAAAATTGTGTTCCCATAAAATTTAAGCAAATCTTCTTGATCTTCAGCTACCAATAATTTGTTGTAAGTTTACCTACTGTCCCCTTCATTACGTTATTTTCACCACTACTTTCCTTTTGTAATGGAATTTCTTCAAATGTTGTAGGTTCCATACATTTACCATTTCTTTTTACCCAGTCCTTTGTCCAATGCTCAAGTGGATTAAAATTAAATAAGTTTGTGTTATAAAAGTAACTGATCATACTTCCCTGAATATGGATATAAAAATTAAATGTAATTATAAAGAAGCCAAAAGACGGATAATACCAATATTTTTCAGCAAAAGAATATGGTAGATAAAATAGGAAAAGAAATAATGGAAATATGGCAAATTAATGATTAAAAAGGTTGTAGCCAATGTAATATATAGCTACTACTAAGGTCATGAGAAGAATTAGTATTAAGGAAAAAATAATATGAAAATTCTTTGGGATTAAATAAGGTTGTAGGAATAAAAATATATGATGGATAAGAATTTTGAATGAGAGAATATTGAAATGGAGAAAATTCAAAGAAATGTAATATATTTCAAAAGTTTTTTGTTGTTAAATTTAGTCATAAAAATTTAGCTAGAGCCATGCAAGTTACAAAGGTGAAGAATTCTACTGGAGTACAGTAATTAAAAACAAAAGGGACAAGAGGTGAAAGAGAAAATCTCTCAAGATTTTTTATCAACACATATATATGTCGGTGGGAAGCTTTACCTAGGAAGAATGAGAAAATATATTGAGAAAAAACTGGGGAATAGCCTTCAAAATATGGAGAACATTTAAAGGAGCAACCAATTACAGAAGAAGAGATAGAAGAAATAATTGAATGTATGGGTAGGGACCTGAGTATTATAACATTTCTAGAATAAAATATTGTTAAATTCCTCTCTCCCCATTACTATGTCTGCACATGATTGAACAGATAGAAAGCCTAGTGTAGAAAAAAATCTATGCACACACAGTATTTTTCTCTTCTAATTCTACTCCTACCTGAGGTTGGATCTCATCACAGATGTCAGCGATAGCTCTAAATAGTGATCTTATGTTGCATCCACTTTCAAGATTTTGCAACCAACAGGTTCTTCTTCCTCCTGCATCTCTTTTCTTATTTATTTTTACCTTGAATGATCAGCTTTGACAATCTGTATTTTTTTTCTTGTTACATGGCTGAAATCATCTACCTGTCTTTGTTCTCTGGTCGAAATCCTACTGGCAGATCACTAATTGCAGCTAATTTTCAAGGTGCCAGTCAAATGATTTATATTTATTTATTGGCCTTAGTACCTTATCATTGGTAACCATTTAGATCTAAGAAATGTTTAGCATTATGCAATTAAATTGACATTTTCAAATCCCTTATCCTCTTTATAATAGCTTAAGTCTATAAGGCCATGCCAAAAAACAGAATGAAGAATACAGTGAGCACTCCCACAGCTGTCCATTGTATGTTGCATTCTTCATATTAAAGAATCTGTTCCAGGCCATTCATTTTCTGATTTACTTATTTTTTTGCATAGGTATATTACTGTTCATTGAACCAAATTCCAAGGTACTGATAAGCAAAAGAATTTCAAAGCATCATTTACAAAGTTGGTGTTTTGTTTTTTTGTTAACCTCACCTTGACCAAGGACCTTAATATCCAGTATGCCATTTCTGAATACAAACCTATCATGCCCTCAGCTGGAGAGTAAAGAGTATTACAGGTTACCATTTCCTAAACATGTTATGTGGAAGCCGTGGTGTCAAAATAACTGGCAATTTATGAAGACATAATCCATATACAGAAATTGTACTGAGATGTCAATGACTTAATGCCCTTCTTCTCTTTTCAAGCATGAGTTCACTGGAGGACCAAAGATCACCGGCAGAGATTGGTGGGAAGAAATAAAACAAAATTCACATTTTTATGTGGGTTTTTTAAAGATCTCCTTACACATCATAGTTTTTAAAAAAGAAAGAGAATGCTGTCTCCCTCAATTGCTCCATAAGTTCACCAGGGCACTGTTTGGTCTCTGCATTTCGTCAACCTATTCTGTCTTTTTGACTTGCATGTGTCTCTATGGGCAGGAGAAGCTGACTCAGATTTCAGGGTTTCCTATTCCTGCATGTTATCTGAATGGTGGTGTGGGATGTAATGTGGTTTTTCAATAAATGTTATCAAATAAAAGAACATCCATACTATACTTAAAACAATACAGATGTTACCAAAGATTCTATGGCCCTAATGCAGCTCTGGTCATTCTCAGCATCTACTATTGCTGGCTGTAGGTTCCTATCAGAATCAAAGCCCCATCTTACCATTTCCGTGCATCTCATATAAACTACAGTTGCTACAATTATATTAATTCATCCATGGAGCTCCCTTTCTTGATTGTGGTGTATGTCTAAAGAAAGTTATAGATTTGCTGCTCTTGTATAAGGCATTTAGTAAACAGAGGCATCTATATTTTTTTTAAATGCCTCTTAGTCTTACACGTTTAACTACTGTACAATACTGTCAGATCAGTTATGGTATCCTGAAAAGGTTAGTTAGTCAGTTAGTTCCTCTGACTTACTCATGTAGTAAAACATTGAGCCACTATATTCTTTTAGGTTTTTAAGCTGTATTAAAACTCCCCCCCCCAAAAAAATCTGAGTCATAGGTTAAAATCAGACAAGGCATATAATAATATCTTACTTTTGGAACTCAATTCCCACTAAACGAAAGAGAGTGTTAAATGAAGTAATCCCTGCACAGTAGATATATAACAAGCCTACTAGGTGTTTTCTTGAAAAAGATCAGAAAAAATGGTTTGGCTGCATTTGCTATAATAAATACAGGCTTCTCTTAAATATTTAATCCAAATTTTATCTGCAGAAATGCTGGTGTGAGTAGCGGTCAAAGCTTCTCCCAAGGGTTATACAAAGTCCTGAGTTGCAAACTCTTTTCTAGAGCAATCTGATTAATGGTAATGAGACTGTTCTGATGAGGATTGTGAATTAGTCTTGTCAGATGCGCCTACATAAGGATTAAACAGGCCTTCTGGTTTTACACTCAATGGAAATATGCAAATGTTACAATGAGAGAATCCTGCCCTTTTTAAAATACAGTAGTGATATAGGTATTATTTTAGTTAGATGGTAACATATACATTTGCATCTAAAATTCTACTCTTCCAGTGTTGTCTGTAAAAAGGAGGAAACTGTTCACTATAACTTCCATAAACATGCAGTGTCTATAGGAAATATTAAGACAGTGTCAGCAGTTTGATCAGCCCTTTGCAATAAATTCACTTGACGGATCTTTATGATGTACAAAAACAAGAAAAAACCCCCCGACTCTTTGCAGAGGTTGGGGAGGGGAGAACATTTACCTATATATTATCAGTATTGTGTATAGAGATGTCATTTTGGCCCACAGAATCTAACATATTAAACGTTTAAAAGGTTTATTCAATATTTTTATGAAATCAACTTTGTATAGCTATATGTATGAAAAGATAGTAGCTTGTTAACCTGTTCTCAGACTGTCTTGAGAGTTTGATGGCAAAAGAGTATTGTGACAGTATTAGTTTCTATCTTTGGTTAACAAATCAATTTTTAATTTAAACTATTAAATTTGTTTTATTAACAAGACAGAAGTTGGGGATTGAGTCTTTGTGCTTCTTTAAAGAATACATGATGAAGGACCCACTCACCTCAATAGGCTTAAGCTGTCTCTTGGCCTCATGAATGAAGCAAAGGTTGAGAGATTCTGGGAGCTGCGGTCAAAATAAAGGAAACTTTCCCATCTTTGTTATCAACAACAGCTTCTTTTAGCACCAAACAGATTCTAGTACTCAAGGGAACAACCTGATGTCCTCAACTTTGTGAGGCTAAAGTTCGGCCAGTAAATGGCTGGGAAAATCACTTGGGAACACAAGGGATCTGAATTGATCTGAAGACCTAAAAAGGAAATATGGTTATTAATAAATCTAACAATCAAAATCTCCATTCAGAGAACTCTTCTGGGTAGCTCTGTGCATAGAGTAGAGCTTTTTGAGTGCATTTTTCACTGCACTAAGTCGGGGCAGTTGTAGGCTGTGATACAAAGAAATATGTTTAGGGTAAAAAGTGGAACTACCTCTTCTGCTTCTGAGCACTTATTGCTCTCAATCTAAGGATACTGACACCATGTTCAATACAATTAATTGCCAGGTAAGTAGGTACAGTGGTGCCTTGCTTGACGGGGATAATCCATTCCAGCGAAATTGCTGTAGAGCGAAATCCTCGTCAAGCGAAATGAAAAACCCTATTGAAATGCATTGAAAACCACTCAATGCGTTCCAATGGGCTAAATACCTCAGCATCCAGCGAAGATCCTCCATAGGGCGGCCATTTTACACAGCGAAAAATCCATCCTAAAGCACAGCGGGGAGCCATTTTACACAGCGGGTGGCCATTTTGAAACCCAACAATCAGCTGTTTTGATCGTTGTAATGTGAAGAATCGGTTCCCTGCTTCGGGAACCGATCATCGGGAAGCGAATTTTGCCCATTAAAACATTTTGCGATCGCAAAAGTGATTGCAAACACCTCATTGTCAAGCAGATTTGTCGTTTATCAAAGTAATCATTAAGCGAGGCACCACTGTACATTCAGGATTTCATCAGATTGGGTTTATTTGTATTGTAACCTTCAGTTTCACTTTGCACATCTGTGCTGCCAATAGTCTTGACGTGTTTCTTCCATTAATAACTTTAACAAACACCCCACTTTTCTCACAATACTGGGAATCAAAGTGGCTTACAACAGGATTACAAACAGGTATAATTAAAAACGGATAAAAGCAGGGATAGCTACATAGAGTTGCCCTGCTAAACCACAAGTAATTATAGCATCAAAATATTTGAAACTATTGCATTAAAAAGGAATTTGAAAGTATGTTTTAAAGCAGAGGTCCCCAACCTTGGGCCTCCAGATGTTCCTGGACTACAACTCCCCTTCACCACCATTTCTGGTGGCTAGGATTCTGGGAGTTGAAGTCCAAGAACATCTGGAGGCCCAAGGTTGGGGACCACTGTTTTAAAGAACAGTACCGGCCCTTTAAAAATCCCTTCCTCAGTAGCCACTCAGTTGCAAAGAAGAATTTTAAAAAGACCTTTGTCTGAAGGTTGAAGGTCAAATGGGGAAGCCTGGTCTGCCTTGGCAGGAAAATTCACAAGTTGGGAACAGCCAGTACAAAGGTCCTGTGTGTGAGGAGGGCAGGATGAGGAGAGAGTCCTCTTCCAAAGTTCCAAGCACTGGGCGGGCTCCAATGGGAGATGACGGTCCTTTTGACTGCAAAAAGGCAGAGTGCTCCTGCTCTCTCTTCTTCTCTCTCACACACAAAACACTATGTAAGCAAGTCCCTTTGGTTCTAATAATGCATCAGGGAGGAGAAAAGGAAGAATGATGACTCCTATGTAAACTTCCCAAGATCGTTTTCAACAGTAAAAATTGCTCCAATTGAATTTGACCCTTTCATATCCCCATCAAATGGGCATGTGAAGACGGCAGGGTCAGAACAAAGGCTCCTCCCAAAGAGGCTGGTGTGGCATGTGGTCTGGAAAAGGATGTTGAAGAAGAGAAACAGGTAGAGAGGAGAAAGTTATGTGCCATCAAGTCAGAACCAACCTAAAGTGAATCTAATGGGGCTTTCAAGGTGAGATATTTAGGGAGTGGCTTTACCAGCCCCCTTCCCCATGGGGTTTCATGGATGAGCAGGGATTCAAACCTCTTAAGTCTGTCACTCTAGTCACCGCACCATATTGGGACAATTATCTCTCGAATTGCTTGTTAGGCCGGTATATGTGATCATGAGCAAATGAAATGGAGGATGTTACTTTTAAAGGCTGAAGTGACACGCCTTGTGAAAGAATGTCTGAAGTAATAATTGCAAAATGTGTATCCTATTACTCAGCAAGCACGTTTTCCCATATGAAATGCACAACTGGAGAAACACTGGCTGCATCACCTTCCACTTGATTTATTAGAATTTCTCTCTGCAGTTCATGCTACTAATTATTTTCCTGTCAGATTCTCAACGAAGGCACAATCTACCTTGAGACCATCTCCAACGCAGAAGCAGATATCCACATAAGATGAGTAACTATCGCTGGATGAGAAACAACACCTGCACACTGATGTTGCACACAGGGTCCCTTTATCAGCAGCTGGACATCGTGCATGGAGGTTCTTAAAAAAAAAACTTTAACAGGGCTGATACCTGGAGGAAATGGCAGACGCTAGATACTGTGCCCTCACTGCTTTAAAAAAAAAATCAGATTAGTGATCATTAATTCTTCAAGTTAATAATCCTTTGAACAGAGTGCAAGACAGATCTTCCTAGCTAGACAGATTTAGTTACAGAAGGACCTCCAAATCTGCAGGGGATTGATTCCAAGACCTCCCCTGCAGAAAAATGTGGATTACAGCAAATGCTAAACATAGTATGGTCTCAGGCTCCATCTTCTAGTCAGTTCTGGTGACTTCGTCATTAAAAAAACATATTTTGGGGAATTTTTCTTTTAATATTTTCAGACCGTGGATGAGTGATTCAGTGGGTATTGATCCCAAAGATAAGGGGATCCCACTGTATTAGCTATGAGCATCCAGAGGTTTGAAGGTGTGCACATACAGTTACACTACTGAAGCCTGAGCAGGTTTGTCTAACACTTCTTGTCAGGTGGTTCATTTTATGTATCATCTCTATTGGAACACAAAAGTAATAAACAAGAACCTGAAAGCCAGATGCCCAGAAGTCAAAATAAAGAATCATAAATAATCAAACACATGGAATTCATATAAAAAGCACAGAAAACGTAGGAACCACAGAATGCATGTACATTTGTATGCAAACAGAGTAAATCCATCAGAATTACATACAAAGATGCATATAGGCAACCAGCCAACAATCCAAATAAACTGCCAAAATTTCCAAGTGAACAATCTGGTTTTGATCACAACACCAGATTGTGTTTTAATTTACGTTCTTCAGAATAAAATACTAAGACTGACTTTTGTTGATGGCAGCCAGACCTGAATCATGCAGCTAATGCAAGCCAATGGCAAAATAGCTGAAGTTAGAGAAATTTCTCTTTCAGAGAAAAATATTCCATTTATAAATGCAGCCTTGGTATATATAACAACCATAGCAAAAGTGAGGTTCTCGGTATTTCCTTCATGTTATAATTTGTATATATATTAGAAATGTTTTTTTAATTATATATGATTTTGTACATCAAGTTTTTCTTCCTGTTTTTTTTAAAGTCCTTGCCTATTACTTTTGTTTCTTTAGGGCACTGGTTTCCAACCTTTTCTGAGTCACAACCTTCTTTTATAATAGCCAAGTAACCTGCGCCCCATCATATTTGCATAAAAAAGCATTTTTAATGGATTAAGACAACACTTCTCAAAGAGCAGAGACTTCTTTCTCTCCCAAAGGGCTGTTTCTCGTACATACACATACACACTAACATTAACATCCTGCTCTGAAAGGTCAAGGAAGAAATTACCGTATTTTTCGCCCCATAAGACACACCTTTCCATAAGACGCATCAATTTTTTAAGGAGAAGAAAACAGGAAAATATAATGTTTTCTTCGCTCCATAAGTGTGTCTTATGGTGCGAAAAATACAGTACTTAATAAGGGTTAAAACACATATAAGGCAACCTTCCCCCCCCCAGAACACTTTGTTGACCCCCTTGGGGTCATGAGCCCAGGTTGGAAAACAGTGTTTTTGTGCTCTCACCCATATTAGAAACCAATAAGCATCTTTTTAAATATTGCCCAAAACTTCTAGGACTCTGTTTGCCTTGATTTTCTGCTCTGGCTTGCTTCTCAGTGCCTATCAGACACAGTCTGTTCTTGTGGCATTGTGCTGCATGCACACACACTTCACATAAGAGTTCGCTGCCTCAGAAATTCATTGCTGCTTAAACAGATTTCCCACACAAAGGCTTTTCGTGAACCTGGACATTTGAACTGCCACTTGGATTTTTACGGCAATGTTTAACTGAGATTCGAAGGATGCTTACCTTAAGGGCCGCTTGCCAGTTCTTTTTAAAAAATTGACAAAGAATGATACTTCAGGAGGGTGCAATTATTCTTTGCATTTTCCAAGGAAATCATTATCTTTCTCTGCTACAATAAGCAAAACCACAAGCAGCACAGAATCCTGCAGCACTTGTATCATACTGGCCACATTCCTGTTGGTGGTTTACTAACACAGCAAGGTGTCTATCTCCGGACTAGATCAGACAGAAAACTCTTTAATCTCTCTAGACTGAGAGCAAAGACCAAAGTCCAACTGAAATGCATGTGGGACTTCCTCTTCGCAGATGACGCAGCCATTGTTGCCCACTCTGCTGAAGACCTCCAACAACTCATGAATCGTTTTAGCAAAGCCTGCCAAGACTTTGGGCTACAATCAGCCTGAAGAAAACACAAGTCATGGGCTAGGGCGTGGACTCACCTCCCTCTATTACCATCTCCA